AGCTTTGGTTTATACTGTACACAAGAAAGATTCATGTTATGTGATGCGATAACTAATGTTTCTGTTGTATTGATTTTTTCCACTGTTTATTCTTCATAGTTCAAGATTTTGTAGATTATATATAATATATTTATCAGAGCTGTGCTTTTGGCACCCAGCACCCAGCATTCACGCCATCTCTCCAATTTTTTGTCTATCCATTTGGCCATTTTCTCTTCATTAACTATCTACCACTTTGTATTGTACGGTGTGCACTATTTGAGGAAGCCTGAGGTAATCATTACATGCAGGAGAAGAGATTCCCGCACCTCTCTGGAATGCAGTAATTGATGATTCCTTGTAAACAACAACGCCGACCACTTCCCTTGACCGAACGGGCTTTGTATAATTTTTTACTGCAGTAGCTTCACTAACCCCGAATCTTTGAACCCTGAGGTGCGACTGCCACGTCTTCCCGCTTTAGGGCTTCGCTCCTCCGCTGTCGAGACTGTGTAACTCTCGTTCTTCAACCACGTGATCGAACTGTGATCGACACTACCATGGCCTGACCACAGTGTGATGTGGCAAGAATATAGCAAAATACGGTTTGTCATGTACACTACTGTATTAGTATATATTATTAGTACGCACCAGGTAGAGCAACGACAGTGATTCCCGAATCACTTAATCGAGTACAGGCTCCGGTGACCTGTAGTACAATCGTTGCTACGCATGAGCCGTATAGGCCCACACTAGCCAAGGCATGCTTGCATCAAATGCCGTCGTAACCCCAGAACAGACTTCAACCGACGACTTTGGAACGTTGTTGACTTGGCTAACCGTGGTTAAAAACTCCACCCCATGTTTTATCCCCGGCCCGTCCGCGCGAGTAGAGGTGGTGGTCGTCCATACGGTATGGACGACCTAAACTCGAGTCAGCAACCAATAGAGTCTCTTGTTCCGATATTAAGTCCGAAAATTGAGTTGATTTAACGAAGCCACGACCCCAAGTCCCCAACTTTTTGTAAAGGGTCCTGATTCCCTTTTATAACATTTTCCTCTCGTGACCACATTCTCTATGATAGCACACATTCACAAATCCTCGTAATATGTTGACAGGAAAATATATGTCTAGAAAGAGAAAATGTCATAAGAAATACAATCGATTTTTAATCATCTGGTTTCTGAAAAGTGAATTCAAATATTTGAAAAGTACAATAAGTATGTATGATATTCCAAACATTCTGAGTTTCTAGAGATAAAATATTTAATTACTTTAAAATATAAATTAACAAAATTCTAGGCCATTACAGACTCCTGCAAAGACCTGTTGCGAACTCATGAAGAGAAATGAGCTTGCCCATACGAATAATAGATGGAGAGTCACATGAGAAGTCTGTATTGTATGTATTCTATCAAAAATTCCTTATTAGAAAAAATATTTTGAAAAGCTACTTATGTTTTTTGAAATATAATTTATTATTCATGTGTATTATTGGAATTGTGGTTATGTTCACATTTTGCTAGAATGTAATATTGATAGGAGTGAAAGTATTTGTAGATTATGTGAAGATGGATTCATTGATTATGAAGAGTATATATTTGTCATTTGTTCTAGGTAGGAAGACATTAAGCTTGCTCATAATATAGATGTGGAGAATTTCTATTCTTTGTTACAGTTCGTTCTTTTGATTTAGGTTATTATATTATGAACATTATTAGTTACCGCTCTAGTGTTCTTGGCACTAGCTAGGTATTGGTCTTTGAGGTATTTTTCCTTCTTTGTGATTTTCGCTTGTATTGTGTTTTTCAGCCTTTTGACCCTTTGGGTACTTGATCTATTACCATTTACTATTTGCTAAAAAAATTTAATTTAAAAAAATTAATTTATTTACTAGTAATGAATGCAAACATTCATATTTAAAATTATATGACTAAAAAAATTTACAAAATTTAATAAGCATTAACATTTTCTTGATTCAACATATAATTTTTATTATTATTTTGACTGTATTTTCAAAATCAAAAGTTAATATATTTTTTTAATCTCTGATTATTGAATTATGAGATTAGGTTGATAAATCATGTGATCATCTCTTAGCAAAAATTCTTAAAGCACAAAGGTGCAACCTTATATTATCTTAAAATGTTTTTTGAATTATTATCCAACAATGTATGCAACTCCTTATGTTTATTTTAAGCCTCAAGGAACATACAATTGAAATTTTTCAAATTGACGTGTTTATTATTTATCTATGAAATATATAATTATTTTTAAAATTCAAAAAAAATTCATAATTATTATTTACAGTGAACAAGTTCAATCTTTACACGATCATACTCAATTTGAAATTAAATTATGTAAATATTTTAAAGATTTAGAAGTTTATAATTTTTCATGATGTGTGATAGTGATTTAAAATAAAAACATTCAATACTCTATAATATAATTTAATACATATATGCTTAAATATATTTTTTAGATCAAAATTTGTGATTGAATCTTCACAGGCCGTAGATTTTAGGAAAAAAAATCAATATATAATCTTTATCTTATTAAAAAAATTGATAGAAATTTTAAGAAATAAATATTGTAAAATTGGCCGTTATATTACAGTTGGCTTAAATTATGGATTAGTGTAATCACTTTTTGAAATAAATTCGATTCATATTAAATTGAAAAATATATAAGTGTGAAAGTGAAACAAGTGTGTCTATGGTAAAAAATTATGTTGATGCAGACAATTATACATAACGTAATTTGTATTTGCGATAATTTTATAGGAATAAAATTAGAAACAATATAAAAAATTACATAAAGAAATAAATTTAACTCATATTATTAAAAAATTAGATATTTTTTATAATTCTTATAAACTTAGTATTTAAGAAAAATAAAAATAGGATATATTTTTATATTAAATCTTAAATTTTAATATATTAATGATGGTAATAAACACATTTAATATTTATTAAAATTTAAATTTTATTCAATTAATTTTAAAAATTGTATCAATTTATTATTATATGCATGTAATAAATTTTTGGAATATCTATAATTTAAGGAAAAAATGTGTTTTATGCATTAAAAAATGATTTTTTCATTTGTGACAATGCGGTCATATATTGTAAATCAGTCTATGCAAATAACATAAAAAAATTTATAAGATGATATTTTTGGATCAAAATTTAATCTTTGTATGGATACTTATGCCTTTAGCTTTATCCAAAGAAGTTGTCCAATTCTAGATTGCCCAGAATATTATTATTTTTCTCCAAATTTGTTTGTAATACATGACATTTGGCTCCAATATTTATAAGGTAAACCACGTTCAATTCAATTTATTTTTTGTCTACTTGATCTATTAGACGTATTATTTCTTACAGAATGAATAATATTACATGTTTATATACATTCACATTGGGAATTTATTATTTTGGAAGAGCAATTTTCACCTTATTGGAGTTGGATCTCATACAGATGAATTGTTTTGTAGTGTCATTTGAATTTATTCATCTTTATTCATATTGGTTACAACATGTTCACATAATGATAAACTTTTTAATTAGATAAATAATTTTAAACAAAAATTTAATTGATATTCAGTCAAACTGCTAAATGTGTTAGATGTTCACACTGAAGATCAGAAACATAGAGATACATACTTATTTATTGTGTTTGAATTTTACATGCATACTATATTTGATGTTAACTATTTGTGGTTATGCTAAATGACAAAACAATCAGAACTTACAAAGTTACAGGTTTTGCAACGGAAGCCGTAGCAATAATAGAAGTGTCATGAAGTAAATGAACTGAACTGATACTATATTAAATTTTAATAATTGCAATGATTTAAAATATATGATTGATGTAAGAAAAATTCATCATGATCATCAAAAAAAAATATGATGTAAGAAGTATCATCATCTTAAGAAATACTATTGGCTTAAACAAGTGGAAGTCAATACAAGTTGAAATGAAAATAAGTATTTTAATCATTTTTTAAATATTCGTAACTTTTAAAAAAATTTCAAATTTCATTCTTTGATGTTGAAGTATATGGATATTGTAAGAAGAAAAAAAATATAGATTGACAGAATGAAATCTTGTGAAATGATAATTTATACTATAACATTACATGACTTGATATTGACATGGATTACTTTTTTTTTTATGATACTGATATGAAGTAATGAAATAAAAACAGATATAAACATCTCTAATGGAAGATGATTTTACTCTGATCGGAAAAACTCATACGATTGTGAAAATAAACATAAAGATAAACTACTAACTGAATCTATAATGAAGTACAACAAATAAGTTTGATTTGATGAAACAAATAGGTTAGCATCAAATGAAATTTACACCAATTAAATCGTAGTTGGGAAATTTGCACTCTTTGCACTTTGATAACAATAGCAAATTTAACACATAAGGTATATTAGTTTATCTCTATACCTTCTTAAATTATTTGAAAATTTTAATACAAGCATTATGTGAGATTCTAAAAATATTTTTCTCCTTTAGAAAATATATTTTCATCTAAATATAAGATTCTCAATCCGTACTATGATACCTTGTTCTGGCAACCAGCTGTGGTATCATAAGGAAATTCAAGAGCACAAACTTGATACAGTTTTGCTTGCACATGGTGTCATGCAATAGCTCCCAATCACAATAATCTGGCCTGACTTCATGCTCTATTGCTTGTGTGAGTAATGAATCAGAAGACGCCGCAAGCAGGAAGGCAGCACCACACTCACTGCAGTCTATTCAAGATCCGAGACCCCCAACCCAAACGCAGTAGACTGTGTAGCAGCGAGAGCCTCAGGCTTGGACTCCCGTGAGGTCCCGTACACCTCCGCAGGGCCACGGGCAGTTTACACGGACACGAGCACGAGCCACATGTCGGCTGAGACTGCCCACCGCCGGAAGTGCGGCAAACTTCCGGGAGACGGATCCAAACGCGTAATTCGCATTTGGCCGCAAGTGATGAGTGAGTCCGCTGAGTCGATGCGAATCACGAGGCCCGAGGAATTGCTAGTTTGGAGGTGGGTCGCTCGCTCGCTCGCTCTGCAGCGGAATTTGGCAGAGCGACGACGATGACACGATTAGCACAGCCGAGGATCTGTGACGTGGCCGAATTGGGGGAGCGGAGGGCCGAACCAAGACGCAGGAGCGCAGGAGTGCGCGCAGGAGGGAGTGCAACAGAATTTCGAGCAACTCCGTAACAGATCTTGCCGCCGTCTATCCGGATCGACCGAGGCAGCAGCTGCCACCACCACCACTGTCACGACATATGTACTGTGCTCACTCTCTCGAGGCTCCAGTGGAATTCAAAGTTCAAATCCACGCGCACCCGTCGCCGCGGTCCCATCGGCAGCTGTGTGTCTGTCGTCCCGCCCGTTGTCCGTACCGGGCCTCGCGGATAAGAGACTGACTCATCATTCGGGCGACGAGGAAAGCGATCGATCGAAGTGTCGAGATTCCTTTCCGGAATGCGCGACGGGGCCGCGGCCATGAACGCCGAATGAGAAAGAGGGATCGAGGGAAAGACACAAGGCAAGAAAGGCATCGGGGCGGTTGTCGTTTTTCTCGTTGGAAGAAGCAAGAAGCAGGAGAGCAGATGAATTTTCCGAGTCGCCTCTCGTCGGATGCTCGCCATCATGGCGTTCGTCTCGTCCTCCTCTTGACGGTCGCCCTCGCCCTCGCGTGTTTGTCGCTCGCTGGGCGAGCCGTCGCTCAGGCCGGGATCAACCAGGACGAAGGCGCCAAGGAAGACACCGGATTTTGTGATGATGTTATCAAGCCTTTCCAAAGCTATAACTGCACGGAGTACATGGTCTCTCTCTCTCTCTCTCTCCAAGGAAATTCTCCTACCCCCTGAAGGTGAATGTGATTAGAAAATTTCCTAGTCAGGAGAATGAATGAAACACGGGCTCCTGAACATGAGCTGGTGGTCAGATCGTGGCAACTAACCGAAGCCTTACCCAGATGGGTTCAACCGCCTGGTTCAGGCAACTGCTGCGAGTGTTTGTGGACTGTTTGGGGTATGGACGATAGATTAATTCGACAGCCTGCTTGTTTCTCGTGAGACGCTTGTTGCTGCTGCCATCGTGCTCGTGCTCGCAGCTATGGATGAATCGACATCCTGACCATATCACATCAGTATTTTCGAGGAGTTTCGGTTTCTTGCAGTAGATAGAGAAACTCATCGCGAATTTCATGGCCTCTCTGGTCAGCACACGTTCGGTTTTAGCTGCGGTAGCTGCCTTGCACCGGCTCGTGGAGTTTGGACTCTTATTTCCACGCCTCGAAAGTATTTCCTTGCGAGCTTTAGGAGAAATTGACCCGACCTCTCTTGCATCCCGTGTCACCAACATGTTCCTACTCGTATTCCTTCGATTGCCGAGGAAACGATCGAAGTTCCGCATTAGACTTCAGCTAAGCGCAGTTTGTTTGAACTACTGAGACGAAACGTTGACATTGGTAATTTCCATAGCGATTGATCCAGTTCGTATTTTCACTTTAAGGAGCATTCAAACACTCGGTATGTCGGGACTTCAAGGCTTGTTTCTTCTCTAGTTCGGAGTTTGTCTAGGGTTTGCGAGAGGCGCATGGTTATGGCTTATTAGTTCTTCTCGAAATCCGTGGCATGACGATCGCAATTACTTAGCGAGGCCGAATGCATTAATTGTGGTTGAGACTTCGGCCATGTCAAGTTTTCATGAACTCGTCCCCACTGGGTGTTCAAATGAAGGCGACTTACTTCTGAACGACTCTGGCCTCTCTCTACAGGTGTCGACTTTCGATGGATTTCTGCTCTCGCTTCAGCTCATACAGAGGAACGACTGGATTGGTCAAAGTTTCGCTGGCGATGTGCTTTTCTGGCATTCTGCGTTGCTGGGAGGAAGAAGTTGGTTCGTTGCAGACAACCCTACTCCTCTGGCCATGGCAGACGCTGGCTATTCGGTCTGGATTGCCCATGCGCGGGGTACTGAGTACACATTCGGACATCAGATGCTCACCCCAAATCAGAAGGTACACAAGGAGTCCATCTGCCATCCCCTTGCCGATCCTGCAAAAGCTGAATATATTTCCTCGTCAGGATGTTCGATGCCTTCAAACACGTGTAATGCGTGTGCATTGGTTTCTGAACGTGTTAGTCTCCCGTGGGATCTTGCAGGAATTCTGGAACTGGGATATGGATGAATGGGCCAACTACGACTTTCCAGCCATCACAGACTTCGTGTTTTATGCCACCAAAGGACGGAAGTTCCACTTCGTCGGCTACTCTCAGGTTCAAAAAAACCACGCAAGAAATGAATGTTCGAAATAAACACTGAGCAATCAGCACCTCTGACACAACCCCTAAGCTAGACCACAACAAATTCAGGGGCACAAAATTCAATTCAAGGGTTGCTAGCCACTCATATTAAGTCAATCTTACTTCTGGAGGTCTTGTAATCCACTTACTACGAACAGCGAAAGCCATTTCTATACAATAATATCACCGGGAATACTATGAAACCAGACACAGCACTCTTGGGCGCATAACTTCTCAACAATAATATCACATCTCTCAGAGACAAGAACAGAAGAGAGGTTGCCTCGATTGATACTCTTAACTCCCATTTTCCCTGAGAAGATCATTGATGCAGAACTAAGGAGACGTAGGGATTCTCCAAATCCACGTTAAGTGCCAATAACATACTCACATCATACGTTTTCCTGTCGAAACGTCTCTCCTCTCTTACAACCTCTTAAGCGCCAACACAAGATGACGCCGGATCTAATCCGGATTCGCAGCTTTTGTTACTTTCGAATTGAGCCTCTAATCCCGGTAGGTATGAAAGAAAAAAATACAGTGTAGCAAAAATTCCACGAGGTCGTGTAGCTCATAAAGCAAGCAAGCTGTCTGAATCGAGACTTCTTCTAATAACGGACTGTAATGCCAGAAGAATTGGACTGTACCCCGTTCAGACTTTCGTAGTACTTGAATTATCCATCATTCGTACCCGGATGACATTGTCTGAAACAGCAGTAATGACACGTAGGACACTACGGCATACTGAAGGTCCATGAGACTATTCCAGCGATTTCTATACGCCTTCTCACAGAACTGTGTCATGTGTCATTCTCTAAAAGGTAAACTAGGATCTTCATCAGACCCATCCATGATGCTCACATGCGCCGCCCCCTCATGCTATCACTACCTCCTCCCCACCCGACGAAGCCCACCAAGGCAGCCAGACTAATTTATTCATAACCCTGAAAGAACTCCTGGGACCTGGATGGATTGAGCAGAGTGAGAGATAGAGAGAGAGAGACCAGAGGACCTGCTGCTGCATTTCAATGACTGACGTAGGTAGCACCATGCCACCTATCCTTTAGAATTAGCCCTGGAAGTGGTCGCTGAAGGTCTGAGGACAACAATCCTGACCTTCTCAGACCAGGATTCAATCAGAAGAGAACATTATTTTTGACTTCAAACTGCCGTCGCTTTGTTGACAGGGAGCTAGAGTTGGAATTGGAGCGATCAGCTATCAGTGGAACCGGGCTACAATGCTAGCATCTGTTTCTCTGATAGCTCCGGTTGTATTCATGGTGAACACCATCTCGCCGGTCCTCGTTGCTTACAACTACACTCGTTTGGCGGAGGTGAGTTCAGTTCTATCAACTGGTTGTATTGTTGATTCAAATGTCACATATCTACTATTGTACTAAGCACTTGCACTACGCTTGAAAGATGGACCACAGTTATTATAAAGCATTATTGTACTTCACGTGAAGGATTTATTGCATGGAGTTTTATGGCAGTACTTGTTTTTATTTCATCTTCTTGTTTGGTGTGCAGCTGGCGTATAAGATTGGAGTTGGCAAAATAAGCTTTGCTTCGTAAGCAAATCTTCTTACTCTTCTAAAATCAATATCATACTAGGCATCAACTTCTGAAAATGCAATTTGTACCTTTGTTTGAGAGCGGACAAAACTTTACGTTATCCGTAGAAGGTGAGGTCTTCAATGTGTAGCTTGCCCCTAGCACGAGCAGTGTCTGCTCCATCATGTTTTCTATACGAAACCTTCTAAAAAAATGTTAGACACCTCAGCAGACTTGGGTTGACCCACTCAGGCCTAGCAGGTTGATGGAAAAATGATAATCTAGACCTGTGCTCAACTCACGGCGATATTGATCTGCACCCTCTCATATGTCGCAGGATCACAGACAGTTCCACCACATCTCAGAAGCTTACGGAACTCAAACGAGAAGGTCTTTGTCAGTTCACTGGTACGGACACTGTTATCCTTTTCCACCTTCTTTTCGCATACAACTCAGAGATGAGCTTTGGGAAATGAAGACACGTGACGTGAAAAATCCTTAGATGCAGTCACTGGGTATGGTCCTTAGCCACTTGAGGAGCTGCCGGAGAGAAATTGACGCAGTGTACCGACTCTGGTCAAATATGAACTGACTGCAATTTCCTCGGTCGGTGGTTGTTTACAGGACCGAACTGCTGTATAGACTCCGATAAGGTATTCAGAGTAATGACGGGACCGTACTCTCTGACCACGTACAAGAACTTGGATCACATTGCGCAGAGTAAGACATGCGCACTCCAATTTGCCTTACCATCCTCAGCAAGACTTGAGATTCGATGACAGGAGATTGGTACGGTAGTTCATGAAAGCTTTTGGTAATTCTGCAGTTCCGATTCTGACGGTTGATTTTCGATTATGGGGATGGGGTCAGGTATGAAGTCGCAAGTTTTCAAAGCCTACGACTTCGGAAGCCCGAACGCAAATATTGGAGTTTACCAAAACTCAGAACCGCCTACTTATCATCTGCAGCAAGTTCCCAACACCATACCGTTGTTTGTTCTTTATGGAGGTCATGATCGATTGTCCACACCGACCGACGTCGATTACTTTGTGTCTCAACTGTCAACTGTGCCCGAAATCCTCTTTCATCCACTGTACGCTCATTTAGACTTCATCTTCAGCAGGTCCTTGGGGTTAGATATCAATCTTCCTCTCCTCACATTTATCGGGAAAAACAGCAACTTCAAAGGGTGAGTCAGATAGACAAACAATGGTTTCTTTCGCCAGACCCTTTGTTGATAGGAGAGACTATTAAGATCGGACAGATGGCACGTCCATGTAGTTGCAAGGTGAGCACATTCTCTGAGCCGGCTGGAAGGTTACATGAAGTACTGGATTCGACGAGGGTAGAGCTTGTGACATAGTTTTTAGTCTCAGTTTTAATTGTGGTTTCGTGTGCATATATATTGTCGTACATATTTAGGAGTTGCTAATTAAGATCGGCTCTGCTGATCCAAAACATTGTTGCAAGGCAAAGGTGACCAAGGTGAACAAATGTATCACTCTTTAGGCCATAGCCGAGTCCTTGAGGACGTGAGACCAAGTGCATTTCCTTTCTTGTAATTGAAACTGGATTCACTCAGTGGGTGTGTCCATTCTTTTCACCGAGTCCAGATTTTCAGAAACCCCAGTTAGCCGTAGGAGGCCCCTGCACGATACCCATCATAAAGCGAATGTAGCGACTCTTGTCTGAGAATTACATCTGCATTTAATTTCTAAGGTTGCATAGGTTTCAATCTCAGAATCAGCCTCATGCAACATCTGCCATCCTCCTCTGAGGTTGCCTCCTGAATGTCTGCATGACGAAGAGCCTGACTCCATAGAGATGAAACTATAAGCTAAAAAGTACACAGGAGTGAAAGGAAGCTTAACCCGAAGGAGCAGAAATGAAGGATCACAACGATAATGTCCACAACATTGACTACATGTATCACATTCTAGATTTAGCTCTTTGCATCCTGATTGTCTGCTGGAGAAGAACCTGTCGCCAAATCTAGCGAAGAGAGGAAGCAAATTTATAAGGACGATTGAAAAGAACAAGTTGTCCCGGATAACAGTACATGCGGGTGAAAGGGGAATGAAATCATGGATCTTCATACTTTCTCTTTCACCAAAGTTTGTCCAACGATTCCTCTCATCTTTCCCAGTCCTTTCAGTAGGTTTAGGCGCTTTCCATTTTTGTGCATGTTTGTCCCTCTTATATACTCCAAATATGAACAGAAGTTGTCAATGACCTCAAATTGCAACTAAATTAAAAATTTAGAACACATCATTATTTGAATTTACTTCTTCAAATAAATAGAATCAAAATTTTGTAATGTATTTATCTCTATTGCAAAGTAACTTATACACTTCGAATTAAAATCTAGTTGTTGATAAATTGCTATGCATTGATTTCTTCTGAATTGGATATCAGATTTGAAAAATTTCATTTCTAAAGCTTCAGATTATTCAACGAACTTTTTTTTTGGAATTCTACTTAAATTGTTGCAAACCAAATTGTATTGTTTTGATCAAAACGAAAAAAAATTGATACACATATACATACATGTACATCTTATGTATCTATATCAACATCAAATTATGATCATCAAATTTCTCATGACATTAATATTTTGGAAATATATTAATGCGAAACACGCAAGATCACATGACAATAAACATGTAATTACAAGATGTAACGTGATTCACCACAAAGGACTACGTCCATAGGGGAAGCTTACGAGTGATAGTATACTGGGTATAAATAAGAGAACATCGATGATACCTCTAGCTAGTTTTAGCTAAGATTAATATTTAATCGTAATTAACATCAACAATCTTCCCTTTAACTTGTGTTAAGAAACAATATACTCTATAATCTATATTATTTCTTCGCAGTAATAGTTGACAGAAATCTAACACAAGATTCTTCTTTGCATAAGAGTTAACTAGAACTAAACCGTAATCGTACCATGATAAAGTAATAACATAAAGAGGTAATCAAAAACTTGCTAGCATAGAAGTAACATAAATCTCATAATCTATGTAATTACTCTAAAGAAAATTCTAAAAAAACGTAATTCAAAGTCTTTTTTACACAAAAATTAACTAAAATTAAACTGTAGTCATCACATGATAGAATAATCGTATAAAAATATACCAATCTGAAAGTACCATGCTAGCAAATTCTACCTATGCTCACCATGCCCAACCTGCATAGTAACATAATGTGGTCTGAAACTCTTCAAAGAAATAAGTTTCACCAAGGCATCAGCTAGATGGAGTTTACCGTCAATCTTGACTAGCTCAATCATGTGCGCATGAACTTCACCAGTACTAGTGCTCTTTCTTGATCATAAGTCACATAATGATCAAACACCACCACAATCATATCTGTGAGTGGAAATTTTCCCTTGTGAGCACGGAGAGCATCATAGATTGTCATACAAAAGATCGTACTCCTTAGGATCAAAGTACTTTGTATCATTTATCAATAGAGTGAAAACATCGTCTTTGACAATTACACTACATTATTTCTTTATGTGACCACTCTTGCCATATCTACCATAATCGACCGTTTTACTCTCAGAGTACTTAACCCTATATTGTGATCTTTTTCTTCCACACCTAGATTGGAATCTCTTTCTCTCAAGAGGCATATATTGAGGTTTCGTCGTCTGAGTTTCAACATTCCACATATAAGGGTTTTCAACATTTTCAAATGAAATGAAAATTGCGCCTTTAATCTATATTAAAATTAATCATTCTTGCCACATTTCCAACAAGCCAATGTTTTACTCTCAAGGAACCTACACCTGAATTGAAATATTTTCCTCGCATAGACCGTTCTCCTAGACCTAGATCTTATTGTCTTGGATTTAACATTACTCCAATCGTCGCCAATACCCAAACATGATTGATCATGGATCACACTCAACGCTGAGCCGGAAGTAGACATGCTTATTTTCACGGCGATGTCGTTCTTGGCATTATTCTACTTGTGGATTATCTGTTAGTTTTCAAAAAACTTCCAAATGCACTAATCTCGTCGAGATCTTTTTCATGATAACTAATTTGCTTATATCCCGTCAAAGATTTTGTTACAAAAAATATTCATGGATGGAATATTCAAACAAAATATTCTAGCAACTTTCTTCGTCTGCAAGCTCTGTCCGCGTCTACGCATTGCCTACAAGCTTACTCACCACCATCGGTCGCTTTTACTCTTGAAATGTAAGCTAAGGTCGTCTAGTACTGTTTTGGTCTTACCTTTATGCAGTTGAGTTACTTCCAAGATCTCTAAACTCGCTCATTCCTCAATGAGTTGGCAAAAAATGAACTTTTGTTTCTCCGATCTATGGCAAAAATCAACTCTATGGAAAAATAATCTTTCAAAGAATCTTTTCATAGGTTTTCACAATATCAGAATGACGACATGGGTACTTCCCGTGGTACAGATCGCAGCTGTACTTCCTTAGTTAAACAAAAAGTTCTAAAAAACTAACTTTTAATTTAGCTAATTTGAAATAACAAGATTTACCTCGGATTTACTTTGCTAGCAACCTAAAGCTAGTTATGCAAATCTCCTAGCTTGGCCCGAACTCTAATTTACGCAATTTGTCATTTCGAATTTGCGTCCCCGTTCACCGTGTGACCACCATAATCAAATTCGTACCAAATTTCAAATGGTCATAACTTCGCAACCTTTTAACGAAATTAAGGTCAAAATATATAGAGTAGGTCAAGCCTATGTATGCAAAATCAGAAAACATAATGATGAAATTTTATATTTTCAGAAATCAAAGTGATTTCTTTGATAGTAGAGTGTAATAGATTTCTTTCGCTTTAGATTTCAAAAATCTCTTTGATTACTTGATGAAACGATCATGTTCTTTCTTCTCAATGATGCAAACTTTAACCCGGTTAGCTACAAGTCTTCTTCACGTTTAGGAGATGATATGGCCAATCAGCAATCGTAAGATGATATGTCATAAGAATAAAACCTTGTTTTAATACCAATTGTTAGAATTCCAGTTTGTTCTTTAGACAAACTCATACATACAATACTTCACGAGAATCACATACCAATATATGTGGTTCACCTACACATTATGTACGTAGAGTCCAAGCCTAACTAGAGTTAGACTAACTATGGTTAACAAGACGTGGGTTAATACACATTACCAAAATATGTATTGTTGACTATGGTTGAAATCAAACATTTCGATCAAGATGAAGATTGAGAGCCAAAGTACCTCGGTAGAGATACATGGAGAGTTGCGGAAAAAGTTGAAGATACATCAAGAGTTGCGGAAAAAACTAAAGGTATAGAATGATAGTGTCAAAATCCAACTTAATAAATTTTTTGTTTTATAAATCTGTGTTATTTAAACAAGCTACATTGGGTACAATGAAGAGTTCTTGCTCTATCAAATATTGAATCATTTAGAAATGTTTCCATACATTAAAAAATCAGCACAGATAAAGATTGAAATATTTTTTGATAATATAAATTAAAATTTTTTTTCAATATCTATTTTTTAATTTACTTAAAAATCAGAATCAAAAAATATAAAATTTAATGAAGGAAGTTTTTTTATAATAAAGTTTTTTAAAAAAAATCGAATTTCAATTCAATTATAAGTATGAAAAAATAACGTTTTGAAAAAATTTCCTTCTAATAACAAATCTTAATTTATAATTATTATTTTTAAATACTTCTAAACAAACGTAACTTGAAAATAAATATTAATCATTTGAAATATATGCGCTATATTTGTATCATTCTAAAACTAAAATTCATGAAATGTTATTTTAAACTAATTTTTCTTTAAATTTATTTTATAAATTAAATTTTCTATTATTTATTATATAAAATACTATTTTTGATAATATTTATTACTAAAATGAAATATTCATATTATTTATTATAAATAATATATTATTTATAATGTATATATAGATTTAATCTATTTATTTTCTTAATAAAATTATTATAAATTATTTTATATATATATATAATGTTTAAAAAAAATTTATCTGGTTTAAAATCCATCGCATTGATCAAGATTCTTGTAAGTGGTATCAATATGAAATTGCTTAGAATATTGAATAGAAACTTTGAATATGAATGAAATGCTAGATTGTTTAGACGAACTGAAATAATTTATTAATTCAATTTGAAATACTGATCTCAAGAACATGACGCTAAACAATATATATTTGACTTCATCCAATTTATTGAAATTAGTGCTATATTGGAAATTACAAACTTAAATACTTAATAAAAAGTTTTGATTTGTTGATCTCAAGAAACATGGATTATATCCAATTTATCTTGCAAATTATCTAGAGTTTTTTAACAAATATAACAAACCATATTTGCATATGATAACTCATCAAAAAATGAATTATTATGTGAAAAATTATAATGAAATTTTTTTTTGGTAAAATATTTAAATAATTTTTTATTAGATATGATAAAAGATTGACATTATTTTTGTAAAATCTTCTATTTTTTAAGTAAATATAGAATTTAAATAATTTTTATACAATTATGAAAAATAAAAAATAATATTTTTAAATATCATTAAAAAATATGTTTGATTAAGGAAAATATTTGTAAATTTATAAAAGATTTTTTATTTTTATTTTGTTTAACATTTTAAAATTTTAACTGAAATAATATTTATAAGAATTTTTTATAAATTAATATTTATAATTAATTAAAAATATTTATAA